GGGGGGGGCGGCTTGTTTTACAACGTCGTTGCCAAGCGACGAAAACCCAACCCCGATGGCAAACACCGGGGGGGGGGAGCCTCTGGGGGGGGTATATACGTGACCCTATGGACTGGCGAATGACGGCGTTCCTTCTGCCTTGGGCTATCTCTCTCACCTCTGCAAGGTCTTCTGTACGTCAACATGGCAGCTTACAGAAGTACGCCTTCGTATCTCTTCACGGGGCGACTGCTACAGTAGAGGGGTTAGAGGCGTGGTTACCAGAGGGGAACTGGAAAACTATGTCGTCGGGGGGAGAGCTGGAAATTGCAACTGGAAACACTTGCCCCGACGATTTAGCGTATCAGTGCTCCTTGAGCGGCCAGACATCCAACGCTCTAGCGTAGCAGCTGATACGGAAGAGATGCAAAGACATGCTTCCGTACACTAAGCAGCCGTGTTGACGTAGATGCAGATTGAAGATGGTGCAGAGGAAGGCACGGTTGATAGCCCAAAGGCAAAAGGGACTCCGTCACTCGCTACTGTACCTCATCGGGACACGCACATACCAGCCCCCAGAGGCTCTGTATATCAAATCTACCGCAGGGTACCATGATCATCGTGGTGCACGCGCGAAGAATGAGGTTACGTTGTTATTACTCGTTAGTGCCCTGCTTACCAATCAACGAGGCAACAAGGCACCTCGCAACCGTTAGCACAGGTCATCAACCAAATCTCACGGTGCTGACAAGGCGTCAAAATGTTAGCAAGGAATGGCCTCCTCGGCTCGCTTCGCGTGGCGTCTACTTCCTACATGCTACACGCTGCTTCATGGTTCGTGTTGCGTGTCGAGAACCGATGTCAACCCGAAAGGGAACCCGAACCGGAACCCAAACTGGACAACGAACCCGAATGGTCCCCTGATCCCCTGAACGCGAATGTCGACGTTTTTTTTCCCAGGCTATGTCAGGAACGAACCTCGCGGACCTGACCCACGACACGGGCAAGGCGACGGCGACAACGGCCCCCTCGTCTGCCGCCACGCAATCCGCCGCCTCTGCCCGCGATGAAGATGTGAGCCAGCTTCGCAGATGCGGAAACCCCGGGATTCCACGAAGAGAAACTTGCTCTTGTGTGCACGGCTCTTTTTGTCACGCGCTGTGCTTGGAGGATGGAAAGTGTTTTGTTGGTTCCCGAAGGAAGTCGACGGATCTTTTTTGGCACCGGGCGGTGCTGCTGTGTTCGCTCACGTTTTTTGGTTGTTTGCCTTTCATTGCCGACTGTTTTGTCGAGTGGTTAGCAATGTGACTGCGTTTAGTCGGTGCCACATTCAGCGTGTGAAGCGATAGGAGTGCGCTTTTTTTTTTGGTACATGGTTTGCCTTCAACATTGCGTGGAAGAGGGTGTGTTGAAGGCAATGGCATTCTTCTATCGATAGGACCTCACGTGCGACAAGAATTATTGTTCCTAGATAAGCATAGAAGCGCCATCTGCCGGAGTTGTTGTCGTCGTTGTTTCACGGTAACGAAGCGTCCAATAATTCAATAATTCCGTTTTTCGCCAGCGAGTTGAAGTGTTTTCAACGGGTGGGGATGAAGATGGAACATGACGGGTGAGTCGAGCGGCGTGAAATAACAATTCTGCTACCATTAGAGCGGTACGTATCCGCGTTTGCCGTCGATGAGACGCGAGAAGTGCGATGTATTCATCCGCCACGACCGCGCGTCTAATTTTTCGCCCCCGCTCGCTGCAGGCCGCCCCGACCGAAGCCGGAGGAGCGGGAGCAGCAGCGGCGACAGGCAGCGCAGCCGCCGCCACCACCACCACCACCACCACCACCACAGCGGCGGTAGCAGCAGCAGCAGCAGCAGGGGTAGACTACATGCGATTTCCGGTTACGGAGGAAGGTGAGGACGAGGAGGGTGCGTCGGCCACGGCTCCTTCGGAATCGATCTTCAAGATGCTGCCACGTACCGCGTGCACGGCGGCTTGCGGGGCCGCCGTCGCCGCCGCGATCGTTGGGTTTGTCGCGGCCGTGCTCATGGCACCTGCTCTGTCGTCCACGGACCTTGAGGCGGCGCCCATCGGGAAGGTCGCCGTCGTTAACGTTGCCGCAGCTGTCGCCGCCGCCGTCGCCACCGGGCTCGCCCCCGTCGGCGGTGCTCTCAGCCGAATGTAACTGATGTTTATCGTCGTTTTCATCGTGGGGGAAGTTGAGTCCTGTGGAGGTGGATAGTGCTTTCTGGTTGTAGACAGAGGGTCGTGGATGTGCTTCACCGATGATAAAACGCTTTGGTTCCTTAGAGATAGCGGTAGAGAGGTAACAAGCAACCACTTCTCGGCCCTGGTTCGGTTTCACCAAGACACTGTAGCCAAACCCATCACGCGCGCTGGCCTGAATTTTTTTTATGAACCCGATTGGGGACAAGCACGGGCGAAGAGACGCGCCTTGTGGGGGTAGTTTCAGTGCTGCGGGAAGCTCGGACCCAAGCTGGGCACGGCAAGCTGTTCTCGTAGGGCGACTTTGTGCCATATGTTGTAGCGATGCTGGACGAGGGATGCGTCTCTACCATACTACGAATACCCTCGACTTTAACAAAACATTGAAAAAGAATGGCCTTCGAGGCTTTTCATGCGTCACCAACTAGTGCGGGGCGCCCAGGAAGAGATTTGAGAATCCATCTCTAGTAAGTTTTGTCTAGGAATACCGTAGGTGCGTGCGGGCTTGCGATTGTTTTTTGCCGTTGGTAGACAGAGAGAACTTCCGTGTGTGTTTTCATTTCATTCTTAATGTCATAAAGCATAAAGCACAGCTTTAAGTTGAAGCAGTTTTGAAGGTGGCGCGGCAGATCGGTTCAATTTCTGTCTTGTTTTTTTTTCCAGCCGCTAGTCACACCTAGCTGACTGTTCCTTTTCACCTCGTCTTTGTCGTAGCAGTACTTGTGGGAGCCCTTGGATGTGATGTTGGGCACCCCGCATCGGCCAGTCAGTAGTGAGAGAGGGCTGTATTCGAACCGTCTGTAAGTATGTGTGGCTTGGCCACGGGGTTCGGGTTCGAGGCTTGTGTAGGGGATGACTGTACACTTGACTGCAGGAAGAGTCGGCGGGAAAAAATGGGCAGACGGCAGGGCAAGGCAGCTTGTTCATGTCATCGCAAATGCAATACAGCACAGACCTCGGTAAATTCCGTCCCTCCGGTTGCTGGTGGTGACGTTACCAAGTTGAAGGTTGAACTCTTTCGAACGATCCGGAGGGTTTCTTTGGTATGGCTGGTGGGGGCTACGCGCTCCATAACCAACCAACCCTTGACGATGGAAAGTAAAGGCGCGAAATGTCAGGCTCAGAACTCGAAGGCGTGCTTGATGAGTAGAAGTACACTAATGTGTGTGTTTGATTTGATGGCACCCGACTACTGCTGTCCTATGTTTTTGTTTTGTTTTCTTGGCCGACATGCCTTGGTGTCACGTGCGTATGATTTTGGACGCGTGTTCCGGGGGGGGGGCGGTGGAACGACAACGGCGGAGACGAATTACTAAATGTATTGCGAAAGTGTATTGCCACATATATAGCAAAGAAAACAAGGTGCCTCATGTTTTGGTCTCTTGTCGTGGTTGGCTACGGCCAGGGCGGCGGCCACAGCAAAGGAAGGCCCAGTCCTTTCTGTCTTGGGCAGTGAACTCGAACAGAGGTACAAAAGGCACCTACCGAACGCGACAGAAACCGCGCTGAAAACCTCCCCCCCAAAAAAAACGAGAAAAATAAATCAAGTTGGGAAAGAAAAACTTGCAAAATGTTCCCCCCGGTCGTCGCCGGCGCTCGTTGCCGTGGTGACTTATGTAGGTTCTGGGGTGGATATTGTTCGGTTCGGTTGTATAGGCGCTGTGGATCGGTGCTGTCGGCACATCGGGTTTGGGAGAGCCGAAAGATACCCAGGCTACGCTGTCGGTTCGAGTTGTTGTTCAGACGTGCAGAAAGTGGCCTTTGCTTTGTTGCCAGTGCCACCAGCGTTTGGTCCATCAGTAGTACCTCACGTGCGGATTCCCGAAAGCTGAAATTGGCCACGTAGTCCACGCTAGCTAGGCCGTTCGTCAGAACCTAACGAAATCCTGATCTACCGTGGTAGCCTCCGCAACACGAGAGGTACAACTGCAGTTCGGCGGGTTTGAGCTGGAGAAAAAGGCATTTCAGGCTGAATATACTTACCCTCCTTCATTAGGTATCTGCTTGCGCCACGACAAGAGAAACTCAATAAAGTTTCCCTGCCTTGTGGGGTTCGAAGGCCTCGAGGTATAGAAATACGTGTTCATGCATCTTTTCGACTACTGACAGACTCTCCAGGCTCCAGACTCCGAAAAGACGACTCATTGCTCACTGCTGCTGTTGGAAGGTGTATGCATATTTATGTACAGAGTGCAGCGTACAGCAGTAGATGCACAAAACCTTTTTCTCCTCCCTCCTGTGTTTCGCATGCCGTGCTCCCCGAAAGGACGCGTCTGCGGCATCAAGCGGATCACTTGAGTCAGAAAAGGGTGTCACACATAAGCAGCAGCAGTGGACAACCGTCATGCGGCAGATCATGCCATGTCTTCGTCTGTGGGTCCGAACCGACAAAACGTTCCCTCGCGAACCTTCTCTCTGTTTGTTCATACAATTGGTGTGACTTCTCCGATGACGGGTGCAGACTCATCTCATCTCAGACGGCGGAACGATCAGCGACAGATCATCTGTTTGTTGCGCGCACGTCATAAAAAAAAACAAGTCAGCCATGGAGCGCGGCAGGATGGACACGACCACGCTCGACCGCGTGAGCAGGCTGGCGTCTAACGTGGGTGATGCCGCTTCAATTTCCGTGAGCCTTGGACAAATCGACTGGGACATCAAGCTGGTCGACCAAGGTGCGCCCTATTTTTGGTGATAGCAGTGCATGCGTCCCATGATCTTGCGCTGTCACCCCATGTTTGCGTGTCAGTCATCGAGGACAGCACACGCGTAGAGGAGTAGAAGACAGAGCTGTATGTTCTGGCCCCAACGTGATCGATACATATCTACCCTCCCCCGCTGCCCATTTTTCTTTCCACCGGGCCAGACGTACGCAAGCTGCTCGCCGCGGTGCAAGGGACCTCCAAGCAGACGTATGCAGGCACCAGCAATGAGACGGAGCAGGGGAGGGCCTTCCTCCAGAAGCAGCTCGACGGGCTCATGAAGGAGAAGGCGCAGTACAAGGAGAAGAGGCTGGCCCTCCTGCAGCTCCAGGACGAGCTCCCAGGGATCCCGGAAGACGCGGCATACTCGGGTTCGTCGCACTGCTGCTATGCTAATATATATTTTTTGAATCTGCGCATACGCATGCGAGGAGCTGTTTTATTGCCCGCTCCTTCGTGACGGTCCTCGAAAGGCTGTCTGGAGAGCTTTAAGGATTAGAACCGTCCGGATCCATTGGCGCGTGGCTTTTTTGTGTCCGCAGTGCCGGCATTGTTTGCGACAGGGCTTGGGCGTAGGTGGGGTTGGTGCGATGAGGGGGTCTGGCTGTTGCGGTGGCGTGTGCCGTAGACTCATGTAGACATGTAGATCTATGATTACACGCAACACACCTTGCTTGTTTTTTTCGGGTACACACGATCTTCAACACCAGTAGTACGTACTGCTGTAGTTCCGCACAGGATGCTTTACTGCGGTCAGAGGCCTGCGAGCAGGCATTGTGTCTATTCTACCGTAACTCATGTAAAGGAATATCGACGAAGACGTGCAATCAATCCCAACCGCGCGTGCCAATCCCCTCACACCTTTCCCCTTCCTCCCCTGTTTCCCTCCAAACCTAATCTACAGCGCCTGCTGGCAAGTCCCCAGGGGTAACGACGACGGAGGCGGAAGGTGGGTGACGTTGCGTCCCGAGTACATGGTATGTGTTTGGAGGGGGTTATCATAGCTGCGGGTCTCCTCAATCGTTGGCAGCCTCTGAAAGCGAGGGCTCAAATCTCGGGGAAGCACTCACATGTTTTTCGCTATTCGTCTGTATTGCAAGATCATGCAGTAGGCTTAGCAGTGGATTTCGCTCACTGGTACACGAAAGCATACCAGAGAACAACCAGCCGCATCCCTCGCGCGTTGAACTACAGCCGCCCGCTCGAGAGGAATCGTTGGGTGTTTCCATCGATCGGAGCCCTTCGGTTGGAGGGGCCTATAACCTGGTACAAGGGTGCGCTCGCGAAATGCCCATAATAATTTACGACGAAAAAAGAGAAAAAATAGTGGTTCTTGTCGGCATCCGTCGCTCGCGTGTTTGTCGTGCCTCTTGACGCGAGAGTCGGCAGGTACCCTCGGCTCCAGTATTACCTGCTGAAGATTTGCAGATGCGATGAGATAGCCAGCTGCGGTGTGTTTTCACTGCCTTGTATTCTACGGGGTGCCTACCTACATATCATAGATGCGGGGGAACGGTATCCGATTGATTCGGACTCCTCCGTGACCTCTCGGTAAAACGCAGCTGGTATCCGATTGATTCGGACTCCTCCGTGACCTCTCGGTAAAACGCAGCTTCCCCCAGCTTTCGCGATTTCCGTTTGATGTCCGAGTCCCACTTGTCTCTTCTCTTTGGCGGGAGAGGAGGGTGCACGAGTGTTTGTCGTGGGAGCTGATCCCGTATGTATGTCACAATCAAAATACGATACCACACCCGGACCGATTGTCATGCGTATTTTTATATGTCAACTTGCCTGTTCAAAATGGACACACCAGCGCCAAGAATCCCTCCCAGTTCTCCCGATAATGATTGAACCAAATCCTGGAACTCGAAAGACATACGGTCACAACAGTATGTGAGGCGCATGTTGTCTCCTAGTACTTAATCTGAGACGATATTTATGTTTCAGGCTCATGCCGACCTGGGAAAACGATATCACGGGGTGGTATCGGGTATTTTCTTGTGTCGCCGAAAATATCCCCAATGGCTCGTACAGCAGCGACAATAGCAGCAAGAGCGACGAGAGCTCGGTGAACAGTGACAACTCGAGAGCGACGAGACCATTCCCAAGCACGGTGCCCCAAGACTCGGACAGCACCAACGGAGGCCATTTTCCTTACGCCTTGGGTATTGTTCTCCGCGAAGATCTCACCCTTCTCACAGTTGTTATTACCAGTACAGGTCTCGTCGCTCTTCACGTCGTTGCTGTGGGAGCCATGCGTGATTTTTTCTCGGCTGACAGCAAGAGTAACACAGGTGTCGAAGGAGGTTAGGGGTATTCCCTGTTGCCGACATATGTGATTGCCTAGGGTCGAAGAGTATGTAGCGATGCCAAGTGCGACGAAAGTGCCACGGGTCAGTATGACAGCACAGAGGAGGCTTAGAGCGTTGCCGACAAGAACGCCCAAGGATCGGACAGTAGCGACGGAAGCTACGGTCCCGATTCGTGGGTGTTTTTTCTCGAGAATGGTCTCTTGCTTCTGTGGACTGTCATTCACTGCTGGTGGCACTTTTTTCACTCTTTTCATCATTTCTGCTTGAGGACCCCTCGTGCAAGTTTCTCGGCGGTGATGATCTGACCGTGGGCGTGTATGGGCGAGGTAAGGGATGAACGGTGACCTCCCTGTCACGATTGCGATCTGATCGTAGGCTTGTAGAGGAAAATTGGATGATCCCTGTCGCGGTAGCGGAGAGTCATGCACCCAAAGGTCGAAGAGTTTAGCGATGTCAAGAGTGGCGAGAGCTCGGCGAGTGATGGCAGCTCAGAGACGGGCGCGACCACTTCCAAGAACAATGCCAACGGCTCGGACAACACCAACTGTCTAGCGCTGCCCACTCTTTGGCGCCGTTGGCGCTGTTGGACCTTCGAGTAATGTTCTCCGCGGCGGCAAGGGCAACATACAACACTTTTGTCTCTCGACACCTAAAGCTAGTCCATGATCGCCGCAACTGCCATGCCACGACTTGGCGATCCAGTCGATCCGATGGGTCTGGTACAGCAAGGGTTCTCCTGAACTTCCACAAGGGAGCCTCAGTCCATCGGAGACGACGAGACTTCCATGGGTCCCCGTCCTTCCCAGCCTCGGAATCACGTTCTCCGGACCGTTCTTGGGTCTTCTTGTTCTGTGTAGGCGTTTTTTCTCGCTGGACACAACGGAATACCGTACCGTATAGGGTAAAAATCGTTCTGCATACCCGAGGTGTGATTTAATCCGTTTCGTGTGTTGCTGGCCGGCCTTTCCTCGCGAACACGAGACGCGACGCCTGCCGAGGGGGTGTTTTTGTGTCGTTGTCGAATTATTTCGGATCACAGCACAGCATTCGACACTCGAAAGGAAAAGCGCGGGGGGTATACTTTTTTTTTTTTTGGTCTACGTTGGCTTTCATGCTGAACAGACCCGCAGTCCGAGGGTCGTTTTGTTCGTGTCCCTCCTCTCAAAGCCGCATTGTTCTTTGCGAAACCCTATGATATGTGTGCATATGCATGGAAGACACAGCCCGTTCGCCGCAACTTCCGGCGATGCATCAACGAACCCAGAAGTATGATTGACGGCGAATCCATAGTCTTGGTCATATATATATATATATATATTTTTTTTTTGTGCCTTCGCGTCGGCAGACCAAAAGGCGGTCGCGGACACGACCCTTGTGTGGAAGGAGACGGTGACTAGCGGTACCTACGATGCCCCCAAGAAGACGGCGGCTCTCTACGCCGAGGATGCCGTTCTGTGGGGAACGGTCTCGGAGGAAGTCCGCGACACTCCGGAGCAGATCTACGCCTACTTTGTGAGTGTCGCCCCCGCTGTTGTTGTTGTTGTTGTTGTTGTTGCTGTTGTTGCTGCTCAACGTGTAGGCGGTGAATGTGCAAACCCGCTGCTAGTAGTGTTTCTTGTCAACATTCCTGCGACCTATGCATAAGATGCACCAAGCTCTCCCCTTGCAAGCGCGCCAGCAAACGGGTATCATCGAATGGTTTTCTCACAACGCCTCCCCTCCCATTCCCCGCTCGCGTGATTTTTCTGTATTGTAATTAACACAGGACTACTTCGCCCGGCTTCCCGAGCTGAGGGTGGTGGAGTACACCCCCGTTGCCGTGCGCGTGTACGGCGACTTTGCGATCCAGGCCGGCACCTACACCTTCGCCTTCCAGGGAGCGGACGGAGCTACCGTGGAGAAGAGGGCCCGCTTCAGCTTCACCTTCCGGAGGGACAGGCCCGGCAGCCCGCAGCCCTGGACGATCGTCGAGCACCACTCCTCCTCCATGCCCACCGCGCCTGCGGGGCTCAAGCGGGTAGGGAAACTGTACTCTGTGAGGGTCTTTCTGCCGGTGGTTGTTGGTTGTGAGTTTTTCAAGGTGCTGTTGGGATGTAAACCCTGCACTGGGTATATCCGTGGTAACAGAAAGAATAGTGTGCAGAGGCTCACAAAGTGACTGTAATGTGCACTTGTGTTGCAGACCAGATACGATGGTTTGAACTGTCGCTTTCTTGGCAGAAAGGTAGGGAAGAGAAAGGAGTGAGCTATGAGGCTTGGGCGAGCACCACGGGGACGAGCCATCCATCCTTAACCCTCATCACGGAAAGAGAACACAGACGGGCTATGCATATTGCAACGTACCCATCATGGCGGCAGACGGTTATTCCGATCCATAGCATAATTCCTAGAATATGAATATCCTATGGAACAATGGTCCGAGGTGCCACACTCGTCGATTCAAGATGTAACCTGTAGGCGTGAACAATGATCCGATCACTGAATCAACAGTCTGCACCGAAGACTATTGCGGTACGACTACTTGTGGTGGTTTCCTACTTACGATGTTTACAACAGTACAAAACACTAATGTCTGACATTGAATTTTCCAACAGATGCTCAGTAGCACCTTGGTTGTGTTAGAGGCTCGTTGCCATGCTACTTTCTCCTTACCCTCTCCAAGTTGTTATCCCTGTCTCTCCCCAACCAACCCACATGGCACATTAATTGGATGCGGTCGGACCCAACACGACGAGACTGCTCCAGCACTGAACAACCGTATGACTACACCGTAGAATTCCATGTTGTGCACCGCCTGCCTTTCTTCTTGTGTAGCCTCCCATGTGATTGGGCGTTACCGATGTATCGATGTATCGATTGCCCTTGACGGATGAGTCGCGGAACAAAAAACACCTCACAGGTCTGTCTCTGCAGTAAACCAGCGTGTGTCGTGATGATCCGGCTCGGCTCACGACAACGGTGCGTGTCTCTTGTGCTTCGATTGCCCGCGTTTTGACGATGGCAACCCCTTGTCCCCTGCCGACAAAACGCCGATATGGTTATCCAGGTTGGACCCAACGCTGACCTCGTCAAGGTCACCCCTAAGAAGGTCGAGATCACCCCTGGTGAGTGAGGCCGTTCTTTGACCTTGATCTGTGTCAACCATGCACGGGGTTTGGGTTACCGGTTACCGGTTTTCCGGGGCCCTTTCTTTGGTTCCGTTTGGCAATGCTTGCGCCAGAACGGACCGACAGGCAAGATATATTGTGTGTGTCGTTTTGGGGGTTGCAGCCGTGCCTGCAAGAGCAAAGCCTAGCAATGAGTAAGGTGTTGGTAAACGTTAGGGTTTAGGGTTGGCTAGTACCACACGCGACTTCGATGGTCGCGTCGCGACACCACCCCCCCCCGGCCCAGTTCTGATCACGAGAACCTTGTACGTACAGTGCACGGTCCTCTTTTTTGCGATTTTTTACTCGAGTAATTCTGTACGGATAGAAAACCACTCGTGGGTACAACGAAAAAGGTGAAGGAACCGAACCAAACCGACCCGTAGGGAGCGAATCTTGGCGTAACCAACTCAAGCTTTGTCTATCTTCTTTTTTCTTCTTTTTTTTGCTGCACGCAGACCAGAAGGCGGTGGCGGCAACCACGATCGTGTGGAAGGACACGGTGACTCTCGGAACCGATGACGCTCCGAAGAAAACGGCGGCTCTCTACGCCCCTGACGCGGTTCTTTGGGGGACGGTCTCGGAGGAGGTCCGCGAAACGCCCGAGCAGATCTACGACTACTTCGTGAGTAAACGACCATATTCCTTTGTTTGTGTTGATTCTCCGATCTTCATGTCATAGGTTCGTCTTTGTGGAAGCAACAGTTGGAAGGCTTGATGCCGGCAAACACCCTGACAGATGGTGCCGAATGCTCTGTGTAGAGTTAGTTGTGGGTTAGCAAGCCTGCCTGCAATTCTAGGGGAGAGAATGATAGTCAGAAAACGTGCATTCGAACATGCAGAATCTCATCGAGCCGCCTTCGCGAGAAATAAGTTTGTCGAGGAAATACCGTATATGACACAAGATAACACACCCCTTGACCAATTTTCGAAGCTCGATTTCTCAACTGCAGGAACAGTCACAGCGCCGAAAACGGCGGCGTTGAAACCGTTTTGTCGAGAGCTTTTCGAAAATGTATCGTTTCGTTTATGCATCCTCTTCGTCGTGGAGTAATCGAGCTTTGAAAATTGGTCCAGGGGGGTGTGTTACCTTGCGTCATACACGGTACAACAGGGAGGGGGGAACGCAGACCCTAATCCCTGTTCCTAACCCTAACCCAACTTCCCCGATCTCATCCTTTATCCAACATGCCAACTTACATAGAAAAACCTGGTAAGGGTGGTGTAGTGACCTCATCGTCGAGGAAGACAACAACAACAAAAAAAATGACCCTGGTCCAAGTCGGGCGCACGCCACGGCTGACCAACCCTGCCTACCGCACCACTTCTCCCGCCGACTACGACGGACATACACGACGGACGTCACACGATGAATGGGCATGGACGATGAATGGACGATCAGGACTTCTTCGCCCGTCTCCCGAAGCTGAGGGTGGTGGAGTACACCCCGGCCCCTGTGCGCGTCTACGGCGAGTTTGCCGTGGAGGCCGGCACCTACACGTTCGCCTGGCAGGGGGAGGACGGAAAGACCGTCGAGAAGAGGGCCCGCTTCAGCTTCACCTTCCGGAGGGGCAAGCCCGGCAGCCCCCAGCCGTGGACGATCGTCGAGCACCACTCCTCCTCCATGCCCATCGCGCCGGCAGAGCTTAAACCGGTGGGTGTTGCACGAGGCGCGTGGCTTGAGACATTTGGCGGGTTCACGGCGTTTTTTTCCGGTGCCGCATAGCAAGTTCATGGGCATGGGCAACGGGTACTTCGTGTTTTTGGAACTAGTGGTGCGTTGAAATTCTAGGAAAATTGTCGGGAATTGCGTTGGGCAACTGATTTCCGCAGGTTCAGCATGCCGACTTGTTTGTTCCGGATATTGTTCCAACCGTTGACCTTGCATCCTGACCACGTTGTTGCCNGGGAACACCGACACAATCGCGTACTGTATCCAGGTGGAGGCGGAGGCAGACATGGACACCATTGTCCAGGCTGTGTCCGAGGTCTCGGTCGCGGACACCCCCCCCCCGCCCGCCCCGCCCGCCGCGACTGCCTCCTCCAGCGTGAGTGCAAACATTAGTCTTGGACCATTATGTAGAGAGCCAGCCCACCGCTACAAGTGGGGGGAGCTAGATAGGGATATGCATAGAATAGAACGCCGCTGCTGACCTTGCACTCACACGCACGAAGACACGAAGGAAGCAGCAGTCAGCCCATCTCATCCCAAAAAGTGTGCATGAAGGAAAGTAGGCGTCAGCCTATCCCTTCAGCTCGCTCAGGACATGCATGCTAACTTCTTGTCATGGAACGTGATGTATTGTTGTAATGCAATGTAATGTAATGCTGGTGTGTAGACGGAAAACCCTCACGTTTTTTTTTTTTTCCGGCCGAGGCAGGGCAAGGGAACGTCATTCTTCCGATCCCTGTTCGGCGGCGGGGGTGGTGAAGCGAGTGGAGACAGCGCCAAGCCCAGCGATGGCGAGGTGTGAATTCATTTTGTTGGTTGTGTTTCAACGCTTAGTATTACGAAAATAACGGCATCAGTTGCTACCTTTACGTTAGCCGTAACTCCATGGTGTATTCTGTGGCCCTTGCTTGCCAGTGTGTTCCGTGTGTAAGCAGCCGTCTCTGCTGGCACCCAAGTCTCTCTTCGATCCATGTTTTCGGCTCCTTGTTCATGAGGACCATCGGAGTTGGAGTTGGCCTTCGTGTGTCTCATGGTGACGATGCTGGGTGACGTCATCGATCACGTCGTCCACGTAAGAGAGACCAAGGCCGACTCGGACCCCATGGTTTTCATGGAGAGGGAACCCACCACATGCATAGAGGAGAGGCTGTGTCACAGCAAACATGTACAGGAGAGTGAGTACGGCTAAGGCAAACTCGATGGTGTGTAATGTTTTCCGCTTGCCAGCGTGTTCCGTATGCAGCTGTCTTTCGCTGGCGCGCAGTCTCTTGTCGTTGCATGTAATGGGTTCTCTCTTCATGACGATCATGAGGATCATGGGGTTTGGGGGTTGACGTTCGTCTATTTCACGCCGTCGATGTCATCGGTGATGTGACAAATATCGTCAACGTGAGACAGACGACAGCCAACTTCACTCCGATGCTCCTGTTCATGAAGAAAGAGCCGACCGAAATGCACCTAGGCAAGGCTGAGTCTTGGCAAAAACGACTATACACAGAATGCACTGGCGACGGCGATACAATACGCCATGGGGTTTGGCCTTGACCTATCTCTCTCAGGTTGATGCTGCAGTCAGTCTCCTTTGGTGCGTGACACAGATTCTCCTCGATGCATATTTGCGGCTCTTTTTGCACTACAATAGGATCGAAGTGGAACCCGCCTTCGTCTCACGATGTGATCAATATCACTATCAATATCATCAACGTGAGAGAGATGAAAGCCGACTCCACTTCAATCCTCATGAGAAAGGAGCCATTGACATGCGTTGAGAAGAATCTACGCCACAGCGGAGACGACTGCACTTGGCAGGGACCACGCAATACACGGTAGATTCGGCCTTCGTGTCTCGATTAACGATGCGACACCGATCGCAATCGGTCAACCTGCCCTAGTGAAGGTAGATGTACACCTCGCCGAGACCCTCGTTCCGGCAGGGTGAAGAAGATGGGCCTCACCTTGCGTCCTCCCCGCTATCATTCGCATTGATTCTTACGGCATCACCCTCACGTTGGCTTGACGGTGTCTTCGTCAGAAGGACGAGGACCTTGAGCTGGCGAGCCCGAGAGTCACCCCCAGATATCTGCGTTAGCATAGCATAGCATAGCATGACATCTGTGCCAATAATAGCAGGCAGGTGTCGGTCAGTTGCAGTCGTGGCCTCGATACAAGAGCGTGGTGTGACAAAGCCCCTCGGCCCTCTTATGTCGAAACCACGACCGCTGTATGTACGTCTATTCTACCTTGCCAGAATAAGGAGGCAATTCCTCGGCGAGATACACTTGATTTACCATATATGGCCGACAGCCATCACATTGCTGAAGGATATAATGGGGCATCGGGGTAGAGTCGGCCTTGGTCCTAGTCGGGGCGGTGTGACGTCAATCACGGTCAATCTCGCTGGTGAATGACATGATTGGCATCTCGCCTCGCCGAGTGTCTGGCTCCTTCCGGCAAGGTAAGGGCAGTCCACGCTTTGTGGTTTGGGCTGACGGAACGAGTTTGAGGCCTCTCTTGGCGAGATCAACTTCGCTCACCGCACGACAGATTGCGATGGCCATCACACCGTCAACGCAAGAGCGATTAAGACCGACTCCGCTCCGATGCCCCTTCTCATGAAAAACGAACCGAGGGCATTCCGACGATGACGTGCCAGCGCGAACAGCAACAAAATAGGAAATACTACCACCCCCCACGCCATCGCCGAATAGTGCAATTGAAACGGAGCGCGGTCCACCCCGGAATGTACATAGTTTCGACAAGTTCCATATTGGATTGCGAGGCGTACGTTGAGCAGGGTGCGGAACGCGTTTCTCACCCTCCACGCCACAAGCCACAAGCGACAAGTCTTGGGTGTGTACAGCATCGCCTTGGGTATTTTTCCTATACGTGATAACTTCACCGCCGAAGAGCTCAAGATTTATTTCGCCCCCCTCTCACCATGTTGAGTGTTTGCAGAAACGGGTGGGGGGTAGGGCACCCCAAAGGGCTTGGTGCGTGAAGCTTTGGGGATTTCCCAGTGTACGGTAGCGATACATGTACCTTGACAGAAGTGCTCGGACGGCGATGTCGGGAACGCTTGCCGGGTTCGATACCCGAATAGTGTAATAGTGGGGACATGAACAGACCAACAGCAGCAACAGCAACAACTTGTCATGCTCTGTGCTATTCACCTAGTGGCTGCACCCATGACCTAATAGTTGCACCCATGATGCATTGGAGCCCGTTTTTTCCGTGCTCAAGACTTAACCGTTGTGGCTCGCTCCCGTCTTACACGCCGACGTTGTGTTATCGCGATCGCTCTCTTCTTTACCTCCCAGAACTGCAGTTTGCTTCTTTTGCCGATGCTGTTCCTCCCTTGCCTTTTTGCTCCTGTGATGGATTTCCTTGTTTGCTGTTTTTGCCCCCGGATGCACGCACTTCAGACCTTCAAACCTGACACACACGCCGTGGACGTGACTGTAGCTCTCGGACAACACGGTCTTGGCCTCGTCCTCGGCAAGGAAGAGGCGGGAAGCCGCTGGGTTGTGAAGGGATTCCGCGACATGCCCGACGGACAACCCAACCCTGCGTCGGTGAGTTTTTTTTTTGTTGCTGCGAAAATGCTACATGGGAGGAAATTGCCTGGAGCTGTGACCACCGCATTTATATGGCTGAGGTTTGGGCAAGTGGACATGTCGACACGCATGTTGAATCATGACGCCGGCGTGATGTCACATGAAGGGGATCGGGCTGTCAAAGTAGAGGGTGTGCCCCCCCCCCCCCCTTGGCAACTT